CTTTGGAGTGGCTGCGTGTGCAGTTTTTGGGGGGACCTTGCAAATTCACGCTCCAACCTTCCCCCCCAAAACACGCTCTAATTGGGGGGGGGGGGGGGGGGGGCGTGGGGGTCGCCGCTCCGGCCAGACGTAAGCGCGTCACAGGCGCAAACCGCGTGCGTCAAGAGCGGCGCACGGGCTCTGAGCAAGTTTGACCGCAACACTGAAAGCCTCATCCCACCTCCTGTGACTGCAGGTCAACACGTGCACGTTGGAGTGTATGTTTAATTTCATTTGCATTTTTATTTAATTATTTATCTATTTATTCATCATGTTCCCTTTGCGCCCACGGCTGTCTGTCCCCGCAGAGGTCAGTATGTCATCGTCCGTGCGCGCGCACGTGCGTGGCGCGCGGACAGCTGAGTGACCCGCCGCGTCTCCTCACAGTCGAACTTGGGCTTGCTTTGGACTCTCAAAGTTTTTTTAAATATTATTAATCATATTCGACGAGGGTTGGATTTTGCTAAAGGGAAATCCTCAGCAACAGGAGGGACTGTGAACGCGGCATGGACCCTTCGACCGTCCCGGGACACGGCCCGGAGGGCTTGGAGTTGACGGTGGAGAACGTGGAGTCGGTACGTTCGTTGACACTCTCATGCGCGGCTAGACTATAAAAGTCTGTAAACACGCGCTGGATCCTTTATTTTTTAAGAAAATGCCACGTTTTTCTGACGAATTTAAAGGTCTGAGCATCCTTCTGGGTTGATAAGAACATCGGTTCTGAGGACAGATTCGTTTTTGTCCAGTAAACGAGCGCAGTTTAGTCACTGTGGTTGCGCACGAGTCCAGTTTGGAAAAGTAGACTGTTTGTAACATGATGCCAGCTATAGCCATATGCTGTCCTAATAATAACTAACACCATGTGCTTTGGATTACTTGCCATGACAACAGTTCTTTTTTTTGTTTGGGGGGGAATGTCACATAATTGGTCATGTATGATCACTAATGGTATCCCCCTCCTTCACTGAAACGAAAATGCATTTTAGATTCATAGTCTCCATCAATATTTCTCACTGGAGCTATTGCATTAATTACTTCTCTTGTATGTCCACCCCCACCAATCCACCCCTCACCCCGACCCCACCCCCTCCAGGCTCTCTACCAGCTGTACTTCGATCCGGACATGGAGCTTAAAAACGCGGCTCAGAAGTGGCTGACCCAGGCCCAGGCGTCCGCTCGGGCGTGGCAGTTCTGCTGGGCCCTGCTGGGCCCCGAAAAGGTCGTTCCTCAGTCTCCGCGGTCTCGGTCCCCCCACCCCCCCACAAAAAGTTGGGACGCTTTGTAAAAAGCTTTGTTTGCCGTGTTTGTTGAAACCCTATCGCACAAATCTCCGCAGATCCCAGAGGTGCAGTTTTTTGGGGCCAGCACCCTCCACATCAAGATCTCCCGTCACTGGAGTGACCTCCCCGCGGACCAGCACGAGAGCCTCCGGACGCAGCTCCTCTCTCACATCCTGCGTTTCTCTTCCGGGCCCAAAATGGTGCTGACCCGCCTCTGCGTGGCCCTGGCGTCCATGGCTCTCAACTTGATCCCCCAGGCCTGGTCCAAGCCCGTGGCGGACATGGTGACGGCGTTCCAGCCTCAGAAGTCCGACTCCGAAGACGGCTCAGGCGCCGAGTCCTCCAGGGACCCCCAGGCCCACTGCCTGGCCCTGCTGGAGCTCCTGACCGTGCTGCCCGAGGAGTTCCAGAGCTGCCGGCTGGCCCGGGCCCGCCGCGGCCAGCTGAGGGCGGCCCTGGCCGGGGAGTGGGCCGTGGTGTGCCCCCTGCTGCGGCAGCTCCTGCAGAGCCAGGACTCGTCCGGCCGGGTGAAGGAGAAGGTGCTCCGCTGCCTGTCCGGCTGGCTGGGGGTGGACGTGCCGCTGGGGGAGAGCCGGGAGCTGGTCCGGGACTGCTTCGCCGCGCTGGGCGACCCGGCGCTGTTCGACACGGCGGTGGAGACCATCGTCGGCGCCATCTCGCAGCCCGACTGCCAGAGGTGAGCGCCGGCACGCCGGTACCCCCCTCCTGGATGCCTTTCTGTCTGGGCGTGCCTGATCCTTGAAGGCGTGCGTGCAGGTACGTGGGCGCTCTGCTGGAACTGGTGCCTCTGGTGCTGGGTCTGTACGACCGGCTGAAGACGGCCGCCCAGGAGGGGGACATGGAGACCTCCCACGGCATCTGTCGCATCGCGGTTTCTTTGGGGGAAACGCACTCCAGGTACCCTCAGACACTCCCGTCCCGCAGTCCCATCGCTTACCGCTCCGCAAGGGCTTGGCTTTTCAACCCAAATTGGTTTGCGTGCGACAGAGTTTTGCTGGAGCAGCTGGACCACTGGCAGGAATACCTGGCTCTGGTGAACATGATTCTGTTCTGCACGGGCATGCCCGGCCACTACCCGGTGGGCGAGACCACCAGCTCCCTCACGCTCACCTTCTGGTACACCCTGCAGGTACGGAAAGGGGATGGCGGCCTCATTTTCTTTTGCCAGCCAAACTTTCTTTCATTTCTCCCTCATCTTCGTTACCGTCTCTTGAATTTCCAGGACGACATCTTGTCCTTCGAGGAGGAGAAGCAGGCCGTCTACCTGCAGGTCTACAGGCCCATCTACTTCCAGCTGGTGGACGTGCTGCTGCATAAATCCCACTACCCCTCTCAAGAGGAGTACGCCTCCTGGTCCTCTGATGACAAAGAGCAGTTTAGAATTTACAGGTGAGGTTAGAAAGCCGATTCATTTTTTGAATCAAATAAAAAACCGCCAATGCTACAGCACGCCATCTTTCTCACCATATGCTGCCTTGTCCTGGTTTGCGCTCGCAGGGTGGACATCTCGGACACTCTCATGTACGTGTACGAGATGTTGGGAGCCGAGTTGCTCAGCAGCCTCTACGACAGGCTGGGCAGACAGCTGATGGACCCGCAGCAGTCAGCGGTATGGCAGGTAATGTCAAGGCCAAGCCCCGGTGCCAAGGCTATGCAAAGAATAAGGGTTAGGGTTAGGGTTACGGTTAATGTCGCTAACGCTGTTAACGTCAGTTTAAGTTGTATGCTGTTATCTGAACAGAATAACAGTCACCACATGCACTCACCAGCCACTGCATTAGGTACTTCTTTTTTTGGCTCCCAAAGAACCATCTCAGTTCTAGGTGGTTTCAGTTTTGCGACATGGCCCGGTATCCTGCTGGTATTAGCCGTCAGAAGATGGGTTCACCGTGGTCATATAAGGGACAGAATAGTCAGCTGTCAGCACCCAGGCAGGCTAAGGTGGATTCAAGCGATGCTCAGTTTGTACTACGGGGCAGAAAGCGTGCCGAGAAATAAAGCCCACACCATTATACCGCCGCCGCCACCAGCCCGAACTGTCGCGACAAGGCAGGATGGGTCCACGCTTATCTGTTGTGTGGGCCGTATTCTGACCCCACCACCTGAATGAGGCAGCAGAAATGGAGGCTTGTCAAACTATTCAACATTTTCCAATGTTGTATTCTGGAATTCCTTATTTGAGTAACTGTTGCCTTTCCATCACCTCGAACCAGCCTATCCAGTCTCCAAACACCATTTGGGCAGACATTTCTGCCACCTTAATAGTCACTTAAATCCCCTTTTCTTTCCCCATTCTGAGGCTCAGTTTAAACTTGTCGTTTTGGACACCTCTACGTACCTTTTTTCCCTTTATTTGATTGGCTGGTTAAACCAACAACTGAACAGCTGTACCTAATAAAGTGGCCGATGAGTGAATATTCAACTAAGAATTATTTGGGATTAAATCAATGTGCCAACACTGCTGTAAGTGTGATGCCAAAAGATAAAGACGTTGGCTGAGAATTAGCCAAGTTTTCTGAGTTATTATTTCAAAATAAAACAGGAAACGAGAAGACCAAGAACCAACCAAGACTGACACGAGACCAAAACATAACCAAAAAAAAACTATACCAAATATCCAAGGCGTGAGATTTAAATTAAAAAACACACTCACAATCCCATGAACATACAATTACATTAAAAAAATTCTAAAAAACGGAACTTGAAATATCTTTTCTTTTTGCTTGCAGATTTTTCCCACTTCCCATTTCCATACCATTCCATCTGAAAAACTCCCAATAAGATTCTTACGACACCTTTAAGCTCAGTTTAAGATATTTTCTAACTGAATATCTTACTGATCATCTTTCTCTTTGTGCAGCTATCTGCCGTCCAGATTGTGTTTCCTGTGCAGCATCCATGGCTCTAACGTGACACTTTGCTTGTCGTCCCCTTCCAGGACACTGAGGCTTTGCTGTTCGGCTTTCAGTCCATAGCTGAGACCATAGATGTGAATTACTCTGATGTTATTCCTGGTCTCATTGGCCTGATCCCACGAATCAACATCAGCAACATAATGCTGGCTGACACAGTCATGTACACCATAGGTACATACGCAGGCATTTTTTTTATGGGAATGTTTGCAGAGATGCACCAGATCATGCATGTACTCCGCTCATACGCCGCATGGCAGATATCTTTTCCTTAAGAAAAACTCAAAATAAAATCGGTTTGAACACATAAAACATTTGAGGGAGCTAGAAGTAAAGCTAAAGTACCATTGAAAATGTAAAAAAACAGCTTAATCTTAATTAACTTTGAGAAAAGCGATGTAGTTGAATATTATTACGCATTTTTTTACGAATCCGGCCCAAAACGCTGCCTTAGATACAGTTCGTCTTAGTCAGGTTGCTAAGATCGTTTTTTTTTTTTTAAACCAAGATATATTTCACATAAGTGCTGCTTTAAAGAAAGTGTTTGTCAGATGTGCTAAAAGCAGGTTAAAAAAGAGCAACATCATGAGAAAAATAACCAGATTTCAGGTCAGGATTTTTTTTCTACAAAGCTGTCAGTCATCTTAAAAAAAAGAAAAGTTTAAAACAAAAAAAAACTTGAGTTTTAAACTCAAATGTAAATCAACATCACCAGCAGCGGGTGATGAATGGACCAGAAAAGCAAACGACTGAGTGGAAAGAAAGTAAAATGCCAAAAAATCAACAAAAGGCACGGACACCAAAAAAGAAATATGTATGAAATAAACAAAAAAACAAAAAAGGACAAAAAGAAAGAAAAATCTAAATAAAATACAAGTTAACCAGAACCAAGAACATGTATGAGTAATAGATTTTTTGGGGGGGGTGAAGCTATTAAGAAAAAACAACAACAAAAAAACTCAGGACTGAAAAAAAAGGAATCTGAGCTGACTGAGAACACAGAATCAATAATCAAAAAATGAGCACAATATTTCAGATCATGGATCAGAACTTGCTTTTTTCTTACCCGGAATCTTTTAAAAGTCTAATTTATATTCAGACAGAATACATGTCAATCTAATTCAATGCCTGCCAATCAGTTGCTTTAATTTGAGTTAATTTTTTTTAAAATTATGGCAAATGAAAGCCTTTTCATTGCTTAAGAGCACCATAATCTTTTTTATTATTTTTTAATTAAGGCAAATGGTTTGCATTAAAAACCTGACTGCATCTCTCGTGTGGAGCAGGTTCTCTAGCCGAGTGGCTGGCTGACCACCCGGTGATGCTGGCTGGAATATTACCCATGGTGCTCCAGGGCCTGGTGAAGCCGGAGCTCTCCGTGTCCAGCGTGTCCACTCTGAAGAGGATCTGCAGGGAGTGCCGGCAGGACCTCCGGCCCTACGCCGAGGACATCCTCACCGTCTCCCAGGTCTCACATCAGCTTTTCTTTTTAACTCGTAACAATGGCGCTATCTCCACCTCCCGTAAATGTGACTTTTTTCTCGGCAGGATGTGCTTATAAAAGAAATTCACAAGGTGAGGAAACCTCCTGGGTGTGTTTGGGGCCGCAGGACTGTGAAACCGTGACTGCATCGACCTGTGTGTGTGTCCGCAGAGCAGCCAGTGCATGTGGCTGATGCAGGCCATGGGCTTCCTGCTGTCCGCCCTGCCAGTGGAGGACATTTTGGGCCACCTGCACTCCCTCATCAGCCCCCACGTCCAGCAGCTGGATACGCTGGCCCAGCAGGAGGTGAGCCAAACGGGGAAACGGTCAAACAAAGTGGCTCAGTTCCACTTTAAACTGGTCTTTTAACAGGTCTTTTAACAGGTCTTGGCCATGGGGACCCCTCTGCCCACATGACCTTCTTCTATGGCTCTAAAGCCCTATCTATATGCTCCCTATTAAACCAAAGCCTTTTTAGCCTCAACGATTAGTGGTTTTCTTACGAATACCTGAGTTCCTGTCGCATCGTGCGTGTGGAAAAGCTCCTGCGTTGCCCATTAAAAACAGCCCTGAGCTTGAAAGTTGTTTTTCTTCTATTAGATTTCCGACAATCACACTTCTGCCTGGATACTTTCCATGGCCAGTGGACGAGTGTATATAAGTAATTCAGTCGTACTCATCGAATGAGTTGGATCTAGCTACAGTAACTTGCTGCCAGCTGAAAGATAGTCATTCATACATTCATAATCCAGTTGGAGACTCTAGTGCTGGACACTCACGGGGATGGAAATAAAAAAAAAAACACAAAAAAAAACACAAAAAGTTAGTTCTTCACAACAACATCACGTTATCATAGAAAATGTGACAAAAATGTAGCATTGCAACAAATAGATTTTAGCTGCCCGACTCATTTGCAACTATTTTCCTGGTTTCATGCACTTTTTTTTGTCATAATCTCAAATTTTTCCGACAAAATAAAACATATATATTCCATAGTTAAACAAAGCAACTTCAAGCTGACCTTTAGATCCTCACACTAAAACATTAAAGAGAAATAGAAGAACTCCATTTGATGCCATTCGTTTTAAAACTTATACATTTAGATTAAAGGTCATAGTTTTTTTTTTGTTTTTTTGGGGGACGTAGAAGACTCCCAAATTTGGAGTTATGAAAGGAAGGCTTGTCACTAACGCTTTTCTCTTTCACTACAGCCTGTTTCCACGAATAAACAGAGCATCGTCCAAATCCTGGGGATGCTCTCCAGTCTTTTTACCACTCTGGACATCAACAGACATGCGGACGCCTACGAGGAAGCAGCCAGTCCCGGACTCACACCCTTGCAGGGTGCACAAAACCCTGTAAATTCACCGAAAAATGAAAAAGGCCTGGGATATTTTTTACTGGCAAAAAATACTTAACAGAGTCCTTTTCATTTCTCCATATTGTAGGTTGTGGTTGTTTTGCAGCAGGTGTTCGCTTTGATCCAGACCATCCTCAGCAAATGGCTCCACGACTCAGAGGTGGTCGAGGTGGGAGTAGGGCCTATTGGTGTCCGCACACGTCTGAACAATCGGCCTCCTCGACGATTGGCTTTTCCTTTCTCCTCCAGGCGGTGTGCGGGGTGTTCGATAAATCGGTCCGCACCCTCCTCCACGATTTCGGGCCCGTGGTGGCCAAGCTGAGCCAGATGCTGGGGCAGATCTACCACGCCTTCCCTCAGGCCTCCGCCCTGGACCTCGCGCGTCAGGTACGGCCGCCTAAACGACAGCACCGACGGGCCGCCCGTCCAGAGTGGTCAGCACCGTGGCCTCACCACACAGGGTTCTGGGTTCGAGTCCCCGGAGGGGAACCGGTACCTTTCTGTGTGAAGTTTGCATGTTCTTCATGTGTCTGCGTGGGTTTTCTCCGGGTTCTCCGGCTTCCTCCCACCGTCCAAAAATCTGCATTTTTAGGTTGATTGGACATTCCAAATTGCCCTCAGGACTGAGTGTGCATGGTTGTTGGTCCTTGTGTGTCTCTGTGTCACCCTGTGATGGACTGGTCTCTCGCACATTGACTTCTGGGATAGGGTCCAGTTCCCCCTGCGACCCTATTAGGGAATAAGCAGTAACGATAATGGATGAATTGGATGGATGGATGGATGGATGGATGGATGGATGGATGGATGGGTCCCTCTTTTATTTAGTCCATCACAGGCCGGCTCCATTGTTTTTTTTATCGTAGATGGTTCACATATTTGCTGCGGAGGACCAACACACCTCGGACATCAGAGCCCTCACCGAAGCCGTGACGGCCACCACGCTCGCCGTGTTCCAGCAAGGTAGCTGGCAGCTGCAGCAGAAGGAAACGTCTGCCTGCTTTCAAACGCAACCGTGACACGCCTCTGGTGTTCCGCAGGTCCGAGGGATCACCCCGACATCGCGGAGGCTTTTATGCACCTCCACGCTCAGGTCTGCGGACTTCACCGGCCCCCCTTCTGACGCATTTGCATCAGAAAAAAAATACAAATCTTGGCCTGGCTGCCAATTTTGTGTCCTTCTGGTTGTTAGATTCTGAAAAGGAAGCCTGACCTCTATCTGTCCGACCAGTTGGATGTTAAAGCGTTGTTTTATTGTGGTGAGTATCGGCACCAGCTCCTAGTTTATTTTTCAAATAATTGCCATATTTTAATCTGAGCATGTTTCTTAAATCTGAATTTTTCGCTTGGAATTGTTCTATTTCCCCTCTGCCTCAGCTCAGAAAATAATTATCCTTCTTTTTTCCACTCAGGGATTCTGTCCATCAAGTTCCCAGAGACATCTACAGTAAAAGCAGCCTGCCTGTTTTTCGTAAGCGGAGCGAGAGAGAAACGTGCAAAGACCAAAAGCAGTTTTTTTGCTTCATTCAAATTGGAATCGGACGGCGGTTTGAGATGACGGTTTGTGCTGTGTCCCCGGCAGACAGAGTTCTCCAGCCGCAGTAAAGATGTACCCCTGCTCAGTGACGTGCTCCAAAAGGACGGAAAGCTGCTGTCCGAGACCCTGCTCCAGGTGGAGCGGGCCTTCAGAACCGGTTTTGGGGAATGCGAATGGCCTGTGCAGCTACAGTGTTTAAAAGTGTCTCTTTCGCACTCACCGGCTCTCTCCTGTCTCTTTTTTTCTGTTCCTCCCAAAGGCGATCGGAGGTGGCTCTCCCGGTAGCCTGACGGAGCATTTTTCTGACGTCCTGCTTAATCTGAACCGGCACTATCCCGCCATGCTTTCTCAGTGGCTGAAAGAGGCGCTGCAGACTCCGGGGTTCCCTTCGGTCCACGTCACCGCCGAGCAGAAACACACCTTCAGCCAGCAGCTCCTAAGGTAACCACCTCAAAAATGAAAGGAACCGTATGACTTCACAATTACATGTTGCTTTGTCTTTAAACATGGTTAATGTCAAACCTGGTGATGGTAAGCTGTAGGATACACTTTGAAATGAATTAGTTGATTTGTTTTTTTCAATAAGGGGAAGAACTCCTAAATTCACCAAGAATGCGTTTATCACATGATCTCCTTCATGCTTACTAAAAAACATTCCCTGGTACACATGATCCAAATAGTAGCATTCGTGAGGGCTCCATGCTGAGATTTCAACCAGATGATGTAGAAAGCTAAGCGATGACCCCACTAGATTGGGAGACATTTGAACTATTTAGGCATTTAGAAGCTCCACAAGGTTCTTAGTTTATGAAATGTAAAAGAAAGCTCGAATCCAGCTTTTTACAGGTTAGCCAATTTATTTCCATGTGCTTTAAGATCATACGACTTACAGCTATGCATCTTATAGAGGCAGTGGGTATTTACTTGGAAATAAAAAGATCCCCAGAAACTACAATAGAGATCATATCTCTTAACTTACGATGTACCTTTCTAGTAACTGGATTTCTGTAAACACGCTCGGTCTGATCTGTTATTTTGGCTGAAATACTTAGCTGAAACAACCTTTATAGCACCAACCAATGAAGTCAAAACCCCCTTTGTCAAAGTTTTGTGATTTTGACGGGGGCAACTTTGCTCAGAAAGGTTTTTACAGGGGTGAAGTTCAGAAACTGGCCCTCTGTTCTGCATCTGAGAGAGTCTGTCTTTCGGGGGTTCTCTTTGTGCACCCTGTGCTGTTGCCTATCATCTGAATTTACAGTAGATAGTCACACTTACCCTTTGGTATCCCGTCTTCTGCTGGTATTGTGCCTCCAAGGACCACTGTTACAAATAAGAACAATGCCTGTTTTGATGCTAGTGACATCTCACTGCTTATGAACAGAGCTGAATCAGCTCTGAGACTCAAAACTGCTTCTGACACAAACCTTTTATGGGGTTCGCGTGGATGTTAAATCATCTTTTTAACACTTCCTTCCCAGGGAGCAAACCAACAAGCGTCGGGCGAGGGAGACGGTGAAGGAGTTCTCCCTGCTCTGCAGGGGCCTGCAGGGCTCCGGGTACTCAGAGTTCTAGTCAGAACTGCTGCTGAACCGAGGTCCGATCGGCCCAAGGGGTCGATGCCGGACCCCCACGGTGGACGTACGGGTCCCAGGAACGGGATTGGGACGAGCTGGGAAACCTCCAGACTCCAGGTCTGGGGCGGATGAACCGTCGCATCGAGTGGATCGTTAGGAATACACCTGTCTCTTTGTCCAGCATGGTTTTTTTCTTTAATAAAAACTCCTTGTCACGTCACATTTCAAATGTCACATATTGCCGAATGTTCATCAACAGGCAAAGTAAACACATCTTCAGTTGCAGCTGTGTTTGCTCCCTAATTTATTTTTCTTATCTGCTGCTGTGGATCATATTCACACATTATCAAAATATAGAAACAGCCCTCCCCCCCCCTTCGCCCCCCACCCCGTCTCTCAGGATCCCTGGCTTTGTCTTTTGTCTGTTACAAAGGAGAGCCTTATTAAAAATGTTACTCAGAACATGGTTCAGCTTAGAGCTCTCACACACGTACACCTCCTCTAACACGTCTGTATCTATACAGCTTCATCACGTCACAACAGAAAAGAGAAGGAGACCAACTTTTTAAGCAGACAACTCCACTTTTTTTTTGTTCTTTCTTTCACGTGGTGACAACACTGTGAAGGGCGGCAGTGTCAGTGGAATTTGGTTTTCCGGGGTTTAGGGTTTAGGCTGGGGGACTGACGGGTGCTGCTGGGTGGACTGTAGGCCGTCCGTTGATTCTGCGTGCGGGCCTCTTGACTATCGTATTCTTGTGAAGAGGTTCAGCACCGACTTTGATTCCTGAGACAGGAGGGGAGAACAAACCGGGTCGAAAAACGTCAGATTTGTCCAATAAATTCATTATTTTCAGCGACCTCAGGCTTGGGAGGAGTGTGATTAATAAATCCAGCTAATGTGGTGCAGAAATCTTGTTCACTTAGCAAATCTTTGCTTTGTTTAGTGTTAAAAAATTCAAAATAAAATAAAATCTCCGCAAAAATCTTTTTGAAATTGTATTTGTTCGTTGACAGGATTAATAAAAATTGCAAACTGTAATAGGCACAAAATAAAATCCCAGAACGCGTTGGTAATTTGCATTCCAAGCAGTCTAAACATGTAAACGACTGACCGGCCAGAAACATGCGTTCAGTGGAAATACAGAAAGGATATTTCTGCCAGCTGTGTCTAAATTTTGGAACCAGTACGATCAAAGTCGGAAGGTTTGAAAAAGAAATAAATACAGTTTAAAGCTTCAGGACAAAAAAAAGGCTGATTATGAGTTCATAAATCCATGTAATTTTCCTCTACCCAGAATTAAATTACTTTTCTCTTTAACAGGCAAAATGTTCAACCATAACATTAACTTATTTAGTCAGATTTGTGGGTCTTTTTTTTTTTTTTTTTTTTTTAAATCTCAGAATAAAAAGCCCACTGTGTGCCGGTCCCACGGTTTTGTGGGGATTTGTGTGCTTTACCTTGGTGCAGCGCGTCTTACTGAAGACGTTCCAGAAGCGTAGTGTTTCGTCCCCGGCTCCCGTTACAATGGCCTCTCCATCTGGGGACACGGCCTGCGAGAGGAACAGAAATCAAAGCTCAAACTGGTAAAAGATAAACAACAAAAAAGCAAAATGGCTACATAAAAAAAAGTACATTTCTAAAACAGGGGCAATTGTAATAAACACAAAGCTGACATTATTATTGATTCCTTTAGAGACTTGGACTTAGACTCCCTTTATTGTCACTGTACAAAGCAACATAGTGAATTACACAACAAAATGTCGTTGCTTGGCAACCAGGTACAGCGAGGGGTCAGTGTGTTGGTTAGGTAGAAAATACTGTGGATGATTACAAAAAAACCTCAACTATATATATATAGCTGTAAATATAAAAGAGCGTGGAGCAGTCTGATGGCCAGGGGGAAGTAGCTGTTTCTGAGCCTGGACTTTATAGACGCCACTCAGTTTGGAGGTAGGACCTGTTAGGTATTCTTACCCTGTGCAGCTTTAGCTTTGATCTGCGGAGCCTCTTTGTGACACACTGCAGTTCATTTGCAAACTGAAGGCTCAGCAAACTCACTCGGGTTCTTACATTGACAGTCAGGCTCAGATTGGCAGCTTCTACGCTGGGATGTACAAACTCCATTTCAATACTGAGGGAGTAAAGTTCCCAAAAATTCGGCACCAATAACTTTTCTTTAGACGTACTGATGATTGAAAATTTGGCGGGCTGAAGCAGACGGCCACTTCCCCTGAGTGTGGTTGTGTCTGAGGTCTCTTCCGGTTAAAAGGATTTTTTTTTTTTCCCACGGTAGCCTGGGACACTGTCAGGATTGACGATTGGATCGAAGAGGAGATTCTGTGCAATCTGCTGGTTTCCTTGGCTAGGAAAGATTTTCAATTGTCTCAAACTAATACATGAATTGGACGTTTTGGGAGTTTAATTAACTTGAATTGGTTGGATTGATTTGACTGGATTACAAAGAACTGAACTGCATTTTCTAAGTGCCTCAGGATGATATTTATTGTGATGTTGCACTATATAAACAAATTTAATTGAATTGAACCAGAACAGTTTAACAACAATGAGTATTAGCACTTAATGACAAAGGCTCCTTTTATACCCAATCTTGACACCCTCACCGATAACTTAATTGATTGTAGAATCTTGCAGAATCTGTAAATTCTACAAACTATTCTGTCTTTTCTCTGTCTCCCTGCACCCATCCCCTATTTTTTTTTTTGGGGGGGGGGTTGTTTAAGAAATAAAAATAGTCTGTGTGTATGTGTGTTGGATAAACCAGCGGTGAACATACCAGATACAGGACTCTGTAGGAGTGTCCTGTTAGCTTGGCCACCTGTGTTAGTGATGGATACTTCCACACCAGAATCTGGTTCTGAGAATAGCCATGGGTGCTCACCTGGAAAAAGAAAGAAATTCCAACATTTATTTTAGGTGAAGTGCAAATATCCTATCCTATAAGATGGAGAACAAACATTGACTTTGTTAAGGGTCCTTTTCACTAAAGTTTCACTTTTAGTAAGGGCGGTGTTTGACTGGGATGCTAGGAGTTGTGCACGCTTTTGCCCCGTTTATGGGAACAAACTGTGTGTCCCTGAAAAAAATACAAAATCTGTGCCTAGAAGAAGGAACAGACACTTAAAGACCTTTTGTTTTTACAAAGGGAAAAAAACAAATGAAAAAAAAACTCAGTGGTGATTAAAAAAAACTGAAAATATACACAGGACTGATTTATATTTAGTCCTATCTCTTCTGTATTTGGCTTCATTTTATGGCCGATTAAGAGCTTGTTGTCTATCCGACGTGTGTGTGTGTGTGTTTGAGTGTCCTTACCAGTTCGTTGGCGTGTTTGGACCAGGCCAGGTTGCACACCTGGGAGCCCGTGTCGGTGCTCTGCAGCGCCTGACCCGTGAGTGTGTTCCAGAAGCGGAGGCAGCGGTCAGCGGTGCCCCCGCCCGAGGCCAGCAGCCCGTGCTGGTGCGGGGACCAGGCGATGGCCTTCACTGCGGCCAGGTGGTCGCTGTACTGCTGCACGGGCAGGAGGCTGGAGCTGTTCCACACCAACAACTGCGAAGAGGGACAAGATGAGCCAGATTTCTATCTGAACTCCTCTCCGAGGGGTTCTTTTGCTCGGGAGGCAGCCACACCTTGTTGTCGTTGCCTCCGGAGGCGAGGTGCTGATGGTCGGGGGACCATTTGAGGCCGCACACTTCCTGCCTGTGGCCTTGCAGCCGCCTCTCGGCAGAGGGGGGGGTTCTGATGTCCCGCTGCAGGATGACTCGGTCCCGGCTCCCGGACGACAGCTGCTCGCCGTTCCACGCCAGGGCACCTGGAGCACGGGGCACAGAGCTGTTCTCGCGTTTCTGATTGGCTGGGAGTTGGACGTCAGCTGGGAACGATTGGCCGCTGCTGCCCTGGGGCTCAGCAGCAGACCAGGAGAGCGACAGCTGAGACTTTCCACATGTCCACATAAGGACATTTGGAAAGGGACGGCATTATATGATATATGACATGGTGCTGTTACTTATTAAAAAAAAGCTAGTTGAAAATATAGGCGTGTCAAGGAGGAAAGACATCAGCAATGATCTTAGAGGAGCAACTGGCCCTAATCAGGGGGTGTATATGCAACTTTTAGGGCAAGAAAAAACTATAATGAACCCTGTGTTATCAGTCAGAGGTGGTACTCACACAACATCAGGATTTAATAAAGGCCTGATTAATTATTATGTCCCGATATGTAATTTAGAATTGAGAAAAGAGGGGAAAAGTCATTGGCTATGAGGGGCAATGTAAATAAATCCCAGTTTGCTGCAGCGATTACTGACCCACTCGGGCTGAGTGGCCCTCCAGACTGGTCAGCTTCCTCCCTCCCGCTGCATCCCAGATCTGGACATAGCCCTTGTGGGTTCCGACGGCCACCAGGCTGCCCTGTCAGAGCCAGAACAAACCGAGCGGTCAGTCGGGATGCGGCCTCTTCTGTGTCTGCTAATAATAATAAGCGGGCGGCGTCATCTGCGGCGCACTCACCCGCTCGTTCCAACAGACCGACGTCACCGAGTCCCCATCCACCGACAGATCGCATAACCGCGTCACCTGTTCAGACAGAGGGAACAACGGTTACCAGCACTGCCATTGAGGTCGTTCAGCTGCCGTTCGCCGTCTGTCTGCTGACAGACAGAAAACACACGAGACCTGACCTGGCTGGTGCAGGCACTCCACAGGTAGACGCAAGCCCCCAGCCCCACGCTCAGCAGGTTGCCCGCCGACCAGTCCACCAGGTTGAGGTAGAAGTCGTCCTGCAGCTCCGGGGCGTCCAGCACCTTGAAGGGGATCTTGGAGATTTTCCGCGCTGGTTTGCGCGGGGAACGGAGCAGCTTGTGACTGCAGGATGAAAAAAAAAAAAAGGGGGGGGGGGGGGGTTAAACTTAACTGAGCTGAGAGCAAATGAAGAATCAGACCAGCTCATGCGGACAGAGACGACAGACCTCTTGTTGCTAAGTGGCGAGAGGGAGTACGGTGAGACTTCATTATCGCTATCGAAAGGCACTCTCTTAGTGTGGACAGTGTACTGGAGGGCAGGAAAACAGAAGATTACCGTTAGGTCACACCCAACACAGGTCAGCGGGAAAGCAACAGAACATCAAACTGTATCCAACAAGGAGCCTCTATTCTACACTATCTGTAAAGCTATCATCTCAGTTTGAATTAACTTAAAGAGCTTTGTCAGAGCACCCTAAAAAGGCCGTGGGAGTCCTGAGCCAGGACCGCATGCCGCCGGTCGTCCGTGTGGGGGTCTGGCACCGTCTCGATCCCCGCCCCCAGCAGCTCGTTCCTCAGCAGGGCCGCGTACGCCACAGCGTCTGCAGACACAGAGGAGATGAACAACCACAAAACAGAACCGAACTACGAGCCAGGAGCAGAGCACTGGGGGGGTGGGAGGCGTCGGGGGTCCACGGACCTTTGCTTGAATCTGAACTGGCGTCCTTGGCTTTGTGGTTCTGAGCAGGGGAGCGGCAGTTCTCCTGCGGAGAGAGGAGGCCACTGGTCAGCACTGGAATTTAAAGTCCACTGAGCATCAGTCGGAGCAGATGCGTGGACCCACGGCTCACGTTAGCGTAGTGGAAGTTGATGCTCCAGTTGCTTCCGGCGCGCGTGGGAATGAAGCGGTCCCCCGACTTCACCCCGACAGGACCGCAGGCTGCACCCGAACTCTGGGGAGGTTGGAACAGAACACAAACAGTTATTAGGATTTTGACAGCTGAGTTGTCTCGGGACAGTCTCAGTTCCTAAACTCTGGTCCGGTCCTGTCCTGTCCTGTCCGGTGCTCACCTTGTTCAGCCGGGCCTCCGTTGGCAGGTTCTGGTGGTTGATTTGCCTCAGCAGCCGTCTCTCGTACTCTTTGTCCATCTCCTCAGGCCGAACGGGCAGCCAAAGCTCCTCAGCTGCCCTCCCCGCCCGCCCCCGCCCCTCCCCTTTACACCTCCGCTCCCTGCCGGTGAGGAAATCCGCAGAGGACCTCCATCTCTATGAAAAAACAAATCAACAAATTTAAAAAAAAACGAGTCACATCGAAAGCTACCTTTAATGCAAGCATCTCTTTTGGCTAGCATGACACAAACCAAGCGGCCTGGTTAGCCTGGGGGTCTTCGTATGAGCACATAGAGGTTTTTAAAGATTCAATAAGCATGGTTTAAAGCCCACGTCAATGACGGCGTGTCATTTGCGCAAAGGTGGACGGCCGTCGCCGTAAAACGGCTCCAACGGGCCGCGGAACGCGCTAGCGACAGCCGCACCGTTGTCATGGCATCGCGCTCGCGCACACCGCAACCTATTTACAAGCTATTCAAACGACGGTCACCTGACGAGTCCGCGGCTCGACAGCTTACCGACTGACACGTCGGTTCAGGTCACCAAGTCAGCCGCCATCCTCCCGGGGAACGAGCAGCGAAGCGGCAGCGGGGGGGGGGGCGGGGGGCTGTTGTCACTTTATTCCAAACGGCGACGGGGGGGTACCCAGACGCCAACGCTGTTCTCGCTGGTGTTGTTTATGTTCGCGACAAAGATGGCGACCGCATCAGCTGGAGCAGAAATTCTTTGGTTTTTGCTCGACTCCTGCTGCCTGTTCGGCCAGGGCAGCACAACAGCGACACCCCGTGGTGACTCCTGTCCACTGCACCTCCAGCCAGTGGCCGCTGGGTGTCGCTGCCGGACCGTGGTATCGTTTGAAAAAGTTACAAAACATTTAGATTCTTTTCTTTCTGTCTTTTTTTTCTTTTACATGACACACTGAGAAAGTGATACAAACTTAAACACCGGAATTGGCTTGATAAATTAAGGCTCTTTAAATCAATCAGAAATATTACTCTTTAATTTATTACCAATAGCTGAGCAGTTTAAAAAAAAAAAGGATTTTGGAAAGTACGTTCCACAACACATAAACCATGATTCTTTGTTGGGTTCAAATACAAAGATTGAACATAAATTCACATGAATATAAGATTGAAGGGTTATTAAACAAACATATTAAAAGCAGACATTTAGGAGAAAGTAGACTTAAAGTTTATCCTGACTTTGAAAATCTAAATTCCTTTTCATGCAAATCTATGGCAAGCAGGATTGACATGCATAATGGCCCCCGTGTGAACATGACCTCATAGCAAACAAAACTTCTGTCTGGGAATCTCGCTCTAAAAAACCCTAGAAGACCTAGATTCGCTCTTTTTTTTTCTTTTCCTTTTTTGTCGGGATCTAGTAAAACCCACTTGAAAAGAAACAGGCAGGAAGGCTGCGCCCACTGCTGCTGATGCTCTTTGGAGATACGGCCGGGCAGAGACGAGGCATGGCATCTTTGGTGGCACCCTGAGCCGCACGTAGGCCCTTCAGCCCCGCCGCCCTCTGACACAACGCTAAAACGCCCTGCCCGCATTTACATGTCAGCAGACCTGACATACTCACTGTTTACAGATTGCCACTGATTCGTCTCCTTCTTCTTGGAATCGCTCTGTGAACGCTGCTCCAAAGCCCAATTTGAAGCTTTTGTGCCCATTTCATGCTTATGCTCTTCATTTGCACTCTTCTTGCCCAATAGACATAAAGCTTTCTCCAGACTCCCCGCATAGCTTTTTAGATTAGTAGCTTTTGGAAGCAGCTTTGTATGCAGTTTTTAAATATTTGAAAAGAGTATTTTACTCAAAGCATGTCCACAAATAAGAAAAAAAGATAGGATGCGGTTAATATGAAGGTTCAGATGTAAAAAAAAAAAAGATAAATAAGCTCATTTAAACAGCATCAGCCCTTAGCTGCACGCCTTCACGCTGTCCTATCCTGCAACTTTAGATTAAAAGACTATCGCTATGTCATTTTTTCCCCCTCATATCCATAAAAAAATGTTATTCACGAAATGTTCTGAGTCTGAGGTGCAAATACAGGCAGAGCATGTCCAGTTTGTCAACAAATCAGTGAGGAAATCATTAACATTTTTTAAACAATGGTCCTTAAAAAGAGTGGGTGATTCGTATCCGATTATGACTGAGTCTGAGGACTCTCTTTTTCTGGGAAGAAAGAGGGCAGAATCGAGCCAGACACTCGTCTTTGGCCTCCTAGAGAGGACAATACGGAGAGCCATCATACTGTAGGTCGGGGGTGCCCAACTCCGGTCCTTGAGGACCGCCGTCCTGCGGGTTTTAGAGTTTTCCCTGCTCGAGCAAACTTGATTCTGATTAAGTGGATCAGTTCAAAGGCTCTGCACAGACCTGATCATCACACACGCATGGGAATCAGGTGTGTTTAAGCTGGGAAACTTCTAAAACCTGCAGGACAGCGGCCCTCGAGCACCGACTCTGGACACCCCTGCTTGTAGCTAATACGGCCAAGAGGTCGAGCTTTTCAGTGTGGAGTCACGTTCTCAAATGTTACCGAAAGCCTGTCTGTAAAAAGCAAAAGAGGCAGCAGATGCTATGAAATTTGACTTTTTAATCTGGTTTGAGTCCTTCATTATATATATATATATATATTATTCAGTCTATCCATCCAAGAGCTTTACGCTCTCAGGTTCCGGGCGATTCCTGATCTGCTTTACCAACACTCGCATTGAACAGCAGGCCATCCGCGGGATTCTTAGGTTTCGTGGCGGCTTATGTCGGACACAGGTGCATTTTTCCCACCGCACATGTCGCACGCGCTGCCGCGGGCACGTCCACGCCAGCGGGCGCTCTCACATTCCGCGCTCGCGCACGTGCCCACACAAAGGGACGCACACTGGGAGCGTTCAGCGAGAAGCTATCCCCGCCGTGATCGCATTCCCTTCTGAACGCGGCCCAGTCACAACAGAGCTCTTATCTGAGCCCTCCTTCATCTCCAGCTCAAGGCAACGTGCAGACGGGCCCTGGTTTGAGAGGCCTGATGTTGACAATGTGAGTGTGTGTGTGTGTGTGTGTGTGTGTGTGTGTGTGTGGGGAGGGAAGGGGGCTAAATGCAGCTGGTGAGGGTGGAGGGGGAAATACTAGGGGCCTTATCGTTCCTGTAATGCGGCGGCGCTGGGAGGGCGCAGAGGAAGCCTGGTCAGCGTTTGTTAGCCCGAGGCGCTCTCAGACCCTTTACTGGAATCCTCGGCACAACAACAACACTGATCTCATCTCGCCCGTGTTGACGAGAAAAAAAAAACAACAAAGAGTTTGACTGTGATGGAAAGAAAAAGAAGAAAGTCTAAAAACAAAACAAAAAGGAAATTCCCTTTTTTTTCCTTTTTTTTTTAGCAAAAACTGTAGGCGTTTTTACGGCAAGCTCATGCAAACATTTCCAGATTTAAGACTTAGACTTTGACTCAACTTTTTTTATCTCTTGGGATAACTTCCTCAGGGAAATAATTCTGGAATCAGATCGTCTCTGGAAATTTAGGGTACGTTAAAAGGGGGTGGGGGGATACGGCTTTGAGGGTTTAACTGTTCAAAAAACAACAACAAAAACGATGTTATCTGGACAGAACGTCAGCTGTGCCGACAAGCCAGCGCACGCAAACGAATCCAGAGATCTCCAGCTTTAAAAGGACTTGATAAACGCATGTGTGCCACACGTTCTTTTTTCTCTTTCAGCCATTTTGTTTCGTGTTTCTGGTGCCAGCACGTGGTACCTTGGTCACAATCGAATCCAAACACACACACACACACACACACACCAGCGTGACCTTTGATAGCATCTCAGAAGTTTACGCTGCGCGGCGGTGGGAACGTCTTGTTTATCTCAGCCCTGCTGGAGATGTGGTGCGTTTGATGGTATCCGCGCGACGCGTAGGCCTCTCTCGGTTTCTTTTTCACTTTTCACAGATTTTGTCACCGCGACGCACACCGAACGTCTCCTCCCACGCCTTCGTCTCAGACGGGCCAGTCTTTGGAGTCAAACAAGTTCATCGGCAGATCTGAGGGAAGTCAAGTCAACAGTGTTTGTGTAGAAGAACAGCAATGTGCATCCCACATGGGCCTTGGTGACTCAGTTTCTGGGCTGAGGAGCCCAAATCCTCAGCCCTTCACCTCCAAGCTTCGCAGTTGGCGTGCAGAGTTTGTGCCTATGTCCTGTGTTTGGTTTCCCCCAAAATGAGCCTCTGAGCATCACAAGCTAACCCAAGAGACCTTTAGCATGTCAGCCCTGTGCCATTTTTTAAAATCTATTTTAGATTTTTTTTGGAGAGAAGATGCTTTCTTCTACAACTCTTCTAAACAGTTCACTCTGTACTCAGTCTTTTTCTGATGGTATTCAACATTTTACATTCGAACTGAGGTTTTTTTTTTTTATCATCACCAATGTTTTCAATGGAATAAAGGGAGATATCAAGCGGCTACAACTGTCTTAACTCTTATAAAAGCAGTCAGGTTATATTCCTCTAATAACGAGTCCTATAAGATTAGGGAATCCATCCATCCATTATCGTTACCGCTTATTCCTTAATGGGGTCACGGGTAGAACTGGAACCTATCCCAGTGGTCAATGGCCGAGAGGCGGGGTACACCCTGGACAATCCGCCAGTCCATCGCAGGGCCACACACAGAGACACACAAGGACAAACAACCATGCACACTCACATTCCATTAGGGAATAAGATATAATATAATATATAAAATAGGCCATAATGTTCCTAATTTTCATTATGACCTCACACACAAAACCCTATTCCACACATGCATTACCCTGGATAACTATTCTTTGTTTTTCCAGTTCAAATCGTGCCCCTTAACTCACAGCACGTTGCCAAAAGTGTCACTTCAGAGTGCATAGGTTTGTTTGTTTATGACAAACTGGGATGCTCCCTCCCATTTTCCATGCAGGTCTTGTGCAGGCTGCTGGCTGCCGGCTGCTTTCTGCGTTGAAAAAAAAAAAGGCCCAGAGGGGAGGAGGCAGAAATGTCAGGCCGGTGCCGTGTCCTGAAATGCATAGCGGTCAAATGTGATCTGACTCAAAGGCGTGCGCATGAACGCCGCACATTTAAATGAATTCCGCGCCTTGGAGGCCGACTTGAGCTTCATAGCTCGAGCAAACCGTAAACACGGAACTTTCTTAAAATCGCCAATTTTTTTGAATGTTTTGACATTCATCCGTTCACGTTTCTGGCCCGTGCCCGTTATACAACTGCAGTCATATACATTCCGTAAAGATATTTGAGGGCATTTGGGAGCAGCCACTCTCAGAGGAACAATGGCATATCTACCCCGACGGCGGCCATGTTTGATAACTCCATGATTTGTGGCACTTTCTGGGAAGGACACATCCTGTTATTGTCCTCATCTTGGATTAGAGAGAATTTTAGAGTCCATGAAATACACGGTAAACACACAGACACACACAAACACACACACATACACACACACACACACACATAAGCCCCAGAGGACGCTGCCTCATCAGATCTCCTCAAGATTTGTAATTTTCCTCAGAGACGGGGCAGAAAATGTCTTTTTGAGCTCACTTCCTGACTAATCTGTCTCAGCCACTCTAAGCTGATCCCTGCCATCCGCACACATGCCAGCGACGCTATTGAATTATCCTGGAATGCCCCCTACATTATACCGTATTCCTCCCGCCGGCGGCCTGGTTTGACTGCAGCTCTTACTGTCAGGCCTGACTAAAAAGCAAACAGCGGCTGGTTCGGAGAAACTCCAGGAAGACATTTGTTTTCACAAAGTGGATGTGGAAAGAGCAGGTTTGTTTTGCTGGCAGCGGTTCTTTTCCTCTCTGCTTTTGCCCCCCCCCCTTCTTCCACAGCTTTGGCCGGCGGAGTTGAGAGAGGATGTGGAGTGGCCGTCAGCTGGATCCACTGGCAGCCGGGAGCGTCCGGCCAGACAGGGCCGTCAGAGCCTGCGCACGATTTGTCGAAACCCCCGCTGACGTCAGCCGCCAGCAGAGCAGAACCTTCAGACATGGCAACCACCAGGCCGCCAACACCACCACCACCACCATGGAAAAGCGCTGCTGTGTGTCTGTGGAGTGTGTTTGGCAGAAGTGGTTTCCTCACCTTTCGGCGGTTCTGAGGAAAGGACGAGGCCGGCTCGGGTTTCCTGCCGTCCTGCATGGAAAGAAATGTTCAAAAGCAGCGCGGTACCCTCTGGTGGATTTTATTTCACCAAACACGAGCACTGGCTGTTTCGTCCTTTCGAGGAATCGTCACCGTCCCTTTCGTAGTAACGTTTACACGGACGCTGGGACATATAGGGACAATAGAAGCAGAATGCAATGATTTACAAAACACACAAACTTTTCAACAAAACACGGGAAAGTTATCAGATCTTTCCAGAAAAACATGCTAGCTCACCTTTTATGTGACGATACAGAGGTTTTTACCACTTTTTGGCGTCTTCTCTTCGGGTCTCTCTTCCTCAATGGCCGGTTGTTCAAAATGGGGTCTTGGGGGACCTGGAGGTTATCGCAGCTGTAACTGGTGGTGGTTCAATTCGTAGACACACAAATATGCATGCACACACTCACTCCCACTGTCTATTTAAAGCTGCTAATTCACCTAACGTGCTTTTTTTAAAAAAAAATGGATTGTGGAACAAAGTGTTAAGCCTCTGTAGCTTTTTTGTCCAGTGATTTTAATGAATTTTTCAAACAGGAATATGTCTTTGTTTTGGTTACGTCTGCTGCATTCGGAGATTCAAGATTATCTGATCTCACTTCAGATATTTTTTTAACGTTTATTTTTTATAGTGTCCAAACTGTAATAAGACTGCTCCATAAATGTTGTTGCAATGACTGGTTTCTGTCTTTACCTCTGAGAGACTCTGCCCCACTAAGGTGCTCTTTTCTTCTTTTTTTTTTGCTCTGAAAAGGTTACTGGCCTGCTGCCAAATTGCCTAAACATTTGCCTCCAGCTGGTTTCTCTGAGTTTCTTTTTTGACACCTGTTGTTGCATGCAACATTTCCCAAAAGTAAAACGTAAAACATCACACAGCATTCTTTTTCTTTTAAATTAGATATTGGCTCATGCCATTGCAAATCACTGCTTTGTTTTCTTTTTAATTCACATTGAGAGTGGTTGAAATGCCAAAAAATGAATCCAGATTACATCTCAACCCCGTTTCAGTGAAATCTCCTGTTAGATCTGTGAAAGCCATCGCTTCACGTTAATCTGCTCAGCGTGGCCTCCGGCGGGCCACGAATCTCTGATTCTTATCTGTTTAGGTCAAGGTGCTCACAGCCCTGGGAGAGTGAATGCCCTGAGGGGCCCAGTGCACAGCATCCCTATCTCTGCCCTTCCTGTTTACACTGCTGGCTCAGTGTCCAGCAGCGCCGAGCTCCAGTCAGGGTGGGGGAAGAGACCCGAGTTGTTTTCCTGCATCTGTCACTCGGCGCTCCTTTTTCCGTTTCACACTCTGCGTTGCAAAACTGGAGCCGTGACGTCAACACGAAACCACATCACTGGCAGCTTGTAGGCGCGTGGGGAGTGTTGCTTTGAAAGCTGAGGCAAAAGTAACCGGCATCCGAGAGGGTGTTTGAGAGAAATGCATTCGGCCGCGCGACGTCCCCAGATTCTCATCTGGAGCTGCAAATAACTCATTTTTCTCAGAAAAAGATGGAAAAGCCACACTGATTAAGCCCTTCGCTAAATGTCATTCAGTCATAACTACACAGCTCAAATCCACCGGGAACTCCAACGGCATCACTGATACTTAACCTGCCAAAGTACCAAGTGTTCTGAACACAGTGTTATTACACCACAGTCTGATATCAGTCAGGGATTTAAAAAGATGCTTTTTTTACAAGGTTGATTTACAAGAACAGTCTGTTCAAGAGTCATTACTTTACAAAAAAAAGACGTTTTTTTTTAATGTAATATAGAAATCTCAGCAAATCAACCCACAATATGGTGAAAACAAAGCAAACTCGGCTTTTTTAATCAATATTTTTGGTTGGATGGCTTCTAAACCTTCTGCTCATTGTCAAAACAAATCTTCTCTAATAGGATTATTCACACTCAAGTTCAGTTGTAATATCTGTCAGTCAGCATTCCGGCCTAAACCGAGCACCAAACCTGGTGCTGTCTAAAACTACACCCTCTTAAAACACAGAAACCAGGTGTGTTGTTTTCCAGGGATCTCAAAGTTGATTTTAACAGACAATCGCATGTCGGTGGACAGACTGGAAAAGTGTGAAGGAATTAGCGCTGCAATGGTTACAGTTTCATCAAAAAAAAAAAAGAAAAGAAAGTATCAGGGGCCACTTTGTGTCTGTTGGTAATCACAGCTGGTGTTCCACAGGGCTCCTATCTGGGGCCACATTAACTCACTCTGATTAGTCCATGCAAAAGCTGAGTTATGGAGATGCATTTAACTTTGAACAAATAAATAACTGAATCGTCCTCAATTTCCTTGTGAAAAACATATATAAGACATACATATCATTTCTAAATATCTTTTTTGGAGGTAACAGTCATTACAAATTTGTATTCTATGCTAACAAAACACAAGAAGCCAGACAGTGAAGCTGTCTTTGTTTTTGACAAGTCAAGAAACTGAAAGGTGCCACAGGAAACAAACTGAGAGCTGAACACAGAGAAGCATCTTTCAGTTTGAACTCACCACACATGTGCCGCTAACTCAGAGAACTGAAACTCTTCCTGCTATGAAACACAGTCTCTAGGCCCGTCTGTACAACATTTATCTAAAGAGACAGGTCTTTAAAAACTTGCCCAGCTACAACTCTTTTTCTGTTTAATGCTCCGTAAAGTACTTCAAAATGCCCCGTCAGTCAGTTGTGCCTTTGAAATAAACAAATCTTGCCTTCATTTAATAAGAAAAAGATTCACAACACCGAGGCCCGAGGATTCTTGTTTACACATGCCCATTTTAATAATCAGATAGAAAACATTTCTTGAGGACAACATACACCATTTTCAACAGTATATTGTGAGGAAAAACACTGAAAAAATACATTTGAAACAATGCTATATATTTCAGCAAATGTCACTACAGCTGTACAATGACCCGTCACCGTACACGATGAGCTGCAGTTTAACGTCCAGCTTTCGTGGTCCGCAGGGGAGAAAAGACTAAAAATCAGCAGCGGGACCTCGCCGAAGGAGCTGCTGGCTAAGACTGTACAAACGTCTCTGGCCGAACCATCGAAGCAGACATGTAGTTTTAGGTCTTATAGTAAAATACCTTACTAAATACAGATGACCCATCACACGAGTTAAGTCGAACTGTGACTCTGACGCGTGGTAGTGCATATAAATAATACCAAATATACACTGAATATTAGCAATCAATATTATCATATACAAGGAAAAGGTAATAAATATATTGTTACTGTCGGCACAAAAAAAAACAGCTGGGTGCGACAAGATTGTGCGACTCTGTGACCACACACAGTCTTTGTGATACACACACACACGCATACACGCACACACTCGCGGGAGGATAATCTAACACCCCCCCCTTTTATCACACACTGCGGTACCTTTTAGGAAGCGTTGGACGGGGCCGCAACCAGCTGCGGAGCCGTCCACGTGTTCAAGGTGCTGGGATTAAAAACGACAAAATACACATCTTCTGTCACTGGCTACTTTCCGGTTTGAAAGTGTTGCGCGCACAGCCATTCGGGGAGGGCAAGTGTGGAGGGGAACCCTTTTCCACACTAAGAGGAGCTCTGGGACACAACTAGGGATTTGAGCTTTATCTTTAAAGCTAAAAAGATTTATCTGCTTAAGGGGCTTTCATTTGCCTCGACTCTCCAGGAGGAGGACTGCGTTGGGGGGGGGGGGGGGTCTGAAGAAAAGGTTTGTGATTGCACTTTGAAGAAGGGGTGGCAGTGAAATCATCCAAGTGCTTTTTTTTTTACTGAATCTTTGGATATCTTCTTATTGTTTGGACTTCTCATCAAAACAAAGTAATTTGACTGCTTATATAGGGGAGGTATTTGGGTTCAAATATTTGGCCTTTACGTGCATCCTCTTACAGGAGTCGTGGATGCATTTTTTCAAAATGATGTGACGGTGTGCCGCAAGGTGCAAATTGTGCCCGGAAGTCAACCGATTTTCGACCTACATCTTTTGTGAGAGTAAGCTTATACTATTGCCTGGATGGACATTAGGAAGACTGTAAGAGACAGTTATGTCCTCTCGTAGAAAACTGGAAACACGTTTACAGCTACGTGAAAATGTTGAAGAAATTATCAAAAACAAGAAAAAAAACAAAAAAAGAAAATACTTAAAAAGAGAAAGAAAAGGCACAGGAGAAAAATAAAACAAAAACTGGAAAAAAAAACAACAACTACTTAGTCACAACTTGCTGACCAGTAGTTTTAGGTTCAACACTTACATGTTTTACCCAGTTTTGAGACGATACCAAATATTCTACATCGATTGAAAATGTCCTGAAGTGCAAGTTTGGAAGTTTTTTCAACTTTTCCCAGTTCACAGATTCATGCCGTCTGGTCACACACTCCGTCTGTGACGCCCCGGGTTCAGACTAAGTCGTGCCTCTGGAGTCCGTTCTTCACAATCTTCCAGCCCATTCGAAAGGGTGGCTCATAAACTGCCTTACAGGGTTTCCAAGCCTCGGTTTCAGGGGTGGCCTGAGTCAGCCACCTCGCAGCCAGGCAGCTCCAGAGAGCCAGACTTGCAGGATTGCTCCACTGCAATAAAATCAACTCGGCCCAAACCGCCGCTCGCAAAGAACACCGTGCGATCAGCTCTGTTTCCGTCGGGAGACGTCGTGTGCCGATGTTTCCCCCCCGTCCTGACCGAATGAGTGATCTCCCGCAGTAGTGTCCGTCTCCCCACTGTCCGTGCTGAGGTCAAAGTGAAATTTACTCTCTGCGGGTCCCCCCTCCGGATCCCTGTTCGGGCCTCCTTCTCCATCGCTGGTGTAGAAAGGAGGAGAGGGGCTCTGAGGGATCATGCTTTGGTACCAGTTCCTGTTGTCCTCCAGCGTGTCCAGGATGTCCTGGGCATCAGGGTGGACCAGGTCGGCCCACGTCTCCCACAGAGGGTGGACGATGTAATCTATAAAGCCGACCTAGAAACAGAAAAGCAAGCGGGGACGTCAGTAAGCATGAGATAAGACCGGGATAAGTGTTTTTAAAAAAAAAACATCTGGATCTGGATGTCTGCGCTCCCCACCTGAGTTCTCTCTACTGATGCCGTGTGCTTGTCACACATGGGGCTGATCTCCATGCCCCTCTCCCGCTCTCTGTCTCCCTGGTGGAAGAACTCGTCCATGATCCTGTCGGTCCACTGCCGGTACAGGTCCAGAGGCTTGGTGGGGTTGCTCAGGTCCGCACAGTGAACCATGTTGCACAGTACCTACGCACGGACATAAACAAATTAGCCGATCGATTCCAAGCCGTTTCCAGAGCTGCTTCCCTCTGATGAATATCGGCGCTTTTCTGTTGCATTAGCATTGACATAAACGGCATGCTTTATCTACCTGTATCCTGTCCGTGTGGTTGTCAAGCAGCAGGACCCCCGAGCTGGTCACTTTCTTGGTTTCCACCATGGTTTTAAGATTAGCCAGCAGACACATGTGCTTGGACATGTCAGTTGCCAGCACCTGAGAGACAGAAAGACAATACAAATTCACGTAAGGGGCGGATTTGGGAAGGATCTGAAGCGGAAGGAGGCCAGCGAGCCCGGAATTGGTCCCTCACCATGTCTATGACCATCCTCCTCAGGGTCTGCCTCTGCTTCTTCATCAGGTTCTGGAAGATGTCGCAGTTGTCCTCCTGCAGCAGTTTGAAGCCCACTGCCAGGTGGTGATTCTCCAGCACTGACTCATCGTTGTAAATCAGAGCCAGCTCAGAATCTAAACGCAGAGGAGGAGGAGGAGGAGGAAGCAGAAAAGTCAAATAAGGCCCAGAGGTAAAAGCTCGGCTTTCGTTAACCGTAGAAAAGTGATGCCATTAAAGCCCACAGACGACATTTAGAGCACTCACTGGTGTTGATGAGGAACTGGTTGGACACTCCGGGGTGGTCCACGTCGTGAATGGCCGCGGCAAAAATGGCTGCCAAGATCTCCAGGTCAGTGAAGACCGCCTACGTGTAGAGAGAAGGAGGGAAAAGGCAAAGGGATGAGCCTTCGGAGGGTAGATGTGAGGAGTGAGACACAGGGCGTCACATGCTCACAGCAAAAACAAATGCAAAGAACAGCTATTTTCCGACAAAAACGAGGGAAAGACTTACATCCAGGGCGGGCGTGGACAGGAGGATGTGTGTGGACTGGACTACGTCGGCCGCGTGCAGGCTGTTGTGGTAGGCCACGTCCGAGTGGTAGTGGCTCTCCAGGGTCAGCATGAACGTCACAAAGGTGTCGGTTGGAATCTTGAACGTCCTCAACAGGTCTCGCTCCTGCATGTGACACAGACAAGGAAACAAAAAATATAAACGAATTTGAAAAACAGACCTTAAAAACGGGAGGTAGGGAAAATGTCGACGAAATAAAACGAGGAAAAAAAAAAAGACAAAGCGAGACTGCACAGGCTTACTATTTTGGGGATAAAGCACGCAAGCTGAATGTGAATCGCAGTCACAACGAGGGCTGAAAAATGACGACGGCTAACTCTCGGCTATTTCAGCAGCTAATGATCTGCTAGCAGATGCTGCTGTAACTACGCAGGCGGCTGATCCTCATGTGATGTGTGCGTGTTGTGCCCTCTGAGCCTGTGTGTGTGTGTGTGTGTGTGTGTGTGTGTCCAGCACTGTGTGGAAGTCCGAAACCTCATTACTCATTAAGAAAACCAAACCACCGAAAGACAATGTTTGGCATGACCGCCTGAGTCCTGAATGTTCTTCGACAGCCCTTTTTTGTCATATCTGTAAGCAGTCTTCACAAATAGTTCCCGGATTGCTGGTTTTGTTCGGTACTGGATGTGAAACGCCGGCTGGTGGTGGAGGCTGAGCAAACAGAAGGGAACTGACCTGAAAGATGGTGTACATGATGCACGTGAGCGGCCGGTTGTGGGAATGCTCTGCCACTTTGAAGATATTCAGCCCCCATTTGTTGATGTTTTCCAGGTCCTGAGAGGGAAGCCAGAATGTCAGCATCAGTCAACCTCTATCTATCTATCTATCTATCTATCTATCTATCTATCTATCTATCTATCTATCTATCTATCTATCTAATTTTTGACTGCACAAACCTTTGAGAGAAGCTCCTCTTGGTCCGTCTTGACCCCGAAGCGGTTTCCGCTGCTTCCAGAGACGCCGGACGTGTGGCTGACCTTCCTCACCCCGCTGATCTGAGTCATCATCCCGACCTGCTGCTGGTGCTGCTGGCCCTGCCTCCTCTTCCGTTCCCTGGACTTTGGCACCGGACAGGGCAGCTCCAGCTCATTCTGCTTGTCTGTGGGGAAACAGAATCAAAGAGGTGAAAAAAAGAGTAAGGAGGGATGATTTAAAAAAAAAAAAAAAAAAGAAGAAAAAAAAAAAGAAACATTTATTGTCAGTTCTGTTCGGATGCCAGGGCGTTGTTGTATAATCCTCCCGGCATTCGTTACGGCCACGTGGAGTAAACACTTGACACCCAGGGGTGAGCGACCTCTCGCACCTACACATTAAAGCTGTGCTGGCAGTTATTTAATTAGAACAATCCCTCACTTTCTGTCTCCCCTGCCAAATACAAACAACTGCCAGCATGGAAAAAAAAGGAGAAAAAAAGCAACGTTTTGTAAACATGCGCCGAAAACGCATGTAGGAAAAAAAAGAAAAAGGGCGCCACAAAAAAAAAGAAGAAAAGGTCAAGAAGCGCTAATGAGATGTGACAATCAGACGCGCATTCTGTGAAGCCGAGTCATGTTGTAACGACAGTTCAGAGAACGCTGGAAAGCTGAACTGTTTGGAGGAGGAACCTGTCGGGCTGCGGGTTTTTTTGTTCAGTGCGTGTGATTCAGCAGGCTGACATTTCTGCGTGTGTATGTGTGTGTGTGAAACTCGCAGAAGCAGCTCTGATCTGTAACAAAGCACAGGAAAATCATCTCCCCCACCTGACAGGTGTCAGATGCAATGCAGATGCAAACCAGATTAGCTGGCAGCTCTTTCTTGTCTCGCTGCGCCTTTTTCTACTGTCGGGAAAGGTCTTGTTTTTCCACCATGCAATCGGCCCCTCACTGCCTTCCCTTCTACCCCTTTTTCCAGTGTCTGTTTTTTATGGGGAAGACGAGCAGGCCGGCTGGCTGCGAGTCACGAAACGCCGCAGGCTCTTTTTCTTTTTTTTTCGCAGACAAGAAAACACTGCTGTCCTCCTGATAAATAATGCAGGGTCTATGCTGAGCTGGTGGCACGGTATGCACACATACGTCCTAACAAACACCCCCCTCATTCCTCCAGAGGGAAGTCTTCCCTCCTCCCCTCGCATGTCTCTGCAGTGAGAGCGAGGGGATTGTGTCTCCCTCCTCCAGACCAGATCAGACTGGTTTTCAGAGCAGCGGTGCAGACAAGCTATGAGCTGATCCAGCTATTGGTGGATTGCTTTAGACCAGCCTTCCACCTCTGGCACGTTGGCAGACTGCTGTTTCTGAGCCGTCTGGTGTGAACGGGATGCTGCAGTGCGTACCTAAGAAGGTGGTGGAGATGTACTCTGACACTTGGTTGCCTGAGCGACTCGTCTCCGAGAGGTGGCTCAGCTCTCTGTTCAGCATCCTCTTGAACTGAAAGAAAAGAGATGAGACATCAGTTAAAATTGGACAGCTCTGAAATGTTTTCACTCCCCACCAGGGGAATGGACGCTTTTCCTGTTGTTTTGCACAGAGGACATTCCCCCTGAGAATATGACCACAGTTGTTGTTTTTTTTTTTCTTCTTGTTTGCGCCATGTAAGGGGCGTGCTCGTCTCCTCCCAGCCTTAGCTTGAATTACCAAATTAGCTGGGTCAAACAGAAGACAGAGAATATACAAAAATCCCCCGTGCTAATCTTTATGGACGTTTCTGGCAGCGGTTCAGATTGCCGCAACGTTCCAGACTCACGCAGCCACCGAACCATGGGGCAAAATCAGCCAAAACATTCAGGGATTAGGAATGGAGACGGTACAAAATCCACAAGAGAAATATAAGACGGTCCAGCAGCTCAGTGCACACAAAACAACACGCGCACACACAAGGTCCAGTTGTTGGGAAATCTCCCCCGCGACACACCTTAATGTATCCCCAGGACACAGAGAACAGGTAGTTGGCCTCAGGCATGGTGCTGAGCGGTTCTGAGCCTCTGGTGCTCCCCAGCAGAAGCAGTGGGTGCTCCTCTCTGAGTGGATCCCCAAGGCTGAGCTCAGCCCTACAGCCTGAAGCCGGAGGCGCCACTTAATCACAGCCTTCCAACGGCCGACTTTGATTAAAAGTAGGATGAAAAAAAAAAAAAAAGAAAGCAAAAGAAAAAAACGCCCCGGCTGCAGTCTCTGGAGAAGGGCTGTGGCGGACCCCTACATCCTCAGCCAAAGGCGCCTCCTCCTCGACTCCACCATTGTTTTGGGAGGATCGCGAGCCCGGAGTGACGGAATCCCCCCTCGATTGCGATCAATATTTCCCTTCCTTTGCTCGGGGTCCAGCCGCGTTTCGCCCGTTCTTTCTAAACCTCTGTCCCCTCCTGACGCCGTCCAAATGTTGTCCGGTGACATGCAGGGGATGGGGCGGGTGGTGGCGGCGGCGGTGTCCGGCCTTTCCGAGCCCAGATGGAACAAGGCAAGGCAGGCTACGCGACACAGCGAGAAAAGGGAGAGAGGAATGGTGGAGGGGAGAGAGGAGGAGGAGGAGCGGGAGGTGGTGTGTGTGCGGTGAAGCTGTAGAGTCCCCTGTGGCACACAGACTGGTGGAGCCTCTCGCTCTCTTCCTCCCACCCGGTCTTAACACAGAGCCATGCACATCACTGCAGAAAAAGGAGAGCTCGGAGAATCCCCCACATCTTCCTCTCTCCTCCCAGCCATTTCTCTCTCTCTCTCACCCTCTCCCCCCCCCCCCCCCCCCGCTCAGTAATGTGGAGCAATTCGGGAGTCTTAAAGCACCAGAGTGTATGGCTGGCGTGGGGAGGGGGGGGGGAAGATCAACCGGATTTGGTTTGGGTCTTATTTTCAGATTTGAATGAGACGAGTCCGCAAACCCTCCAGGTTTTCACGCTCGTGCCGTCACGCTCGTGTGACCGGCCAGTCGCCGTTTTTCCAAGAGCAGCAGTTATCTGCGTTTAAGATGATTGGGGACGACAGGAGGCAGGATGAGGATGAGGATGTATCTTTGCCCGAGTGCCATGGCAACAGAGTCACATGGCCATCTCCATCCTTCCCACGGTGGTCCCCGCTCTGTAGAGACCGCATCCCATCACATTTATAAACAAACAAGCTGCGACTGCAGACGAGGAGCCCGCTTCTTATAAGGAATACCATGTAATTATTTCCTAAAGAGAGCAGGCTTCTTACCCGCAGAGTAAGAATAATAAAGATGACGGTGTGAAACTTAAAGCCGTCCCCGCCTTTATTTCAGGGCCGTTTTTGTCAATCACACAAAAGGATTTTTTTTCCCTCCTCGAACTGCACCCAGACTCTCTGGGCTCCCCCAGCTGCCTAATAGCTGTCAAACAGAGCTAACATCCACTTCAGAGCGAAACCCGAATACAACTTTCAAAGAGCTGGCTACACTCAAAACACAGACCGCCAGAGGCTGTCCGTTAAAAAAAAAAGAAAGAAAATCAAAGGAGAGTTGACTGGGATGAAAAGAAAGAAAGAAAGAAAGAAAAAAAGGGTTTGGAGTGAGTCGGCCTCTCAAAGTTCAAAGGGGAATTGTAATAGATTTGTGAAAGCGGGGGGAATGGGGCTGATTTGAGTGGCCTATAGGGAGCGGAATTAAGCACACAGCTCAGTGCCAGTCACACGGGGTCAGGCAGTTCAGCAGAGACACACACTCGGGGCATGGCGACAGCTCTGCGAGGGCAGATTACTCAATTTGTGGGGTTAACTCGAACATCCTTTCGCGTTAGGAAAGACTTCTCATGTGCAGGGCGAAAGGTTAGCGTGGGAAGTTGCACACACAAAAGATTCGAAAAAGTTTCTCAATTGTAGACTGGACACTGTCCACTGTCCCCCCCCCCCCCGCACAAGACACAAAAATACATATGTATTACCCTTAATACTTTAAGCGTTGTTTCCCTGATTTAAACTGACATGAAGCGTAATTTATCCATATGATTTCCAAAAGGGAGCTAAACATCTATACTGAACTATGTTTACGAAGAAATTAAATGTAAAACAATTCCTGTGCTATTCAAACAGAGTCCTCATGTCACACTGGGGGTCAAACCACAGAAATCCAGCACCTCCAGAGCAAGCTCACCTTTTTCCAATTAGTTAGCGCCTCAAAGTTCTTCTTCTGCTTTTCAGAACAACATAGTTTCATTGTCACGGAACAAAAGAAAAAACGAACACGGCTCCAAAGAATTCCCGTAGAGGTCCGAGAGCAGTGACTGTTGAGGCTGCTTGAGATCCTGCCTGCTTCCTCCCTCTATTCTCTTTTCTGATGTGGCGTCAGGCAGGAAATGTATAGCGATAAAGCCGAGCTGAGCGAGTGGCCCACAGAGTCTAACAAGAAGTGGGAGGCTCCGCCCTCCAGCACAGGCCCGAGCATGCGTCTCCTCCTACTTCCCTTTTACTTAATGGAGTAATTCACAGAAGTCGCTCACATCCTGCTTCCTGACATTGCCCCAGGCAGCAACCTTCAGACATACCTCCCTCCACCACAAAAAAGTCCCTGATGAACAAGCTTAGAGGGCAGACCTGCTGAACATGCCGGGGTGAAAAGAATTGATTAAATCTCTATGGGCGGGGGGGGTTGAGAGGTGACTGCCACACTTTAACCTGAAGTGAAAGCATGACAGAACCGGGATTGCACGGGAGCAGCTTGACATCATAACCCGACGCTGCGGCTGTCCAAAGTGAGGCAACGCGGCGTAGCTGTTTACAGTGTCAACACGCGGCGCACGATACCCTGAAAAGTTTTCACGGTTTAGCAACTGTTAATGAGGCCCGTTTCGCAGAAAGGTGTTGAATAACGCCACTAGTTCCAGGAAAATGGACGCCTTGTGGGTTTACATCCCTCTTTTGACTTGTTTTCTATGATACAAATTACAGAGGCGGGGGGGGCAGGGTTCTCTCTCTTTTTTTTTGTCTTTTTAAAAATCACAATTAAGCTCCATAATCACGGCTGCAGCTTGTCTGATGTGTTCACCAAACGTGGGGTTAAGTGAGATCACGGCGCTGTAATTTCATGTCCATTACGCCGGCTGCAGCTCCAGACCCACCGCTACATCTGTTTCAATAATTCTGTCATTCTTTCCCCTTGGAGGATGGCGGGGCTTCAAAGCCGAAGTGACCACTTGTGAGTTAAACTTTCCTATGCGCTCGTCTTTGAGCTCGGGGGGAGGTGTGTGGGTGAGCGTGTGTGTGGGGGTAGGGGGGGGGGGGGGGGGGTGGCGGGGGGCTTGCGTGCCCGCCAACCCGCAAAGCGCTAAACGGTTCTAACTGGATTCAGATGGCAGTGTTTGCCCAAGGCCGCCACCGGCATCAGCGTGGAAGTGTGGCCGGGATAATGATAGTGAGGGGCGGGCAGGCAGCTCCCTGCTCTGAGGTCATAGTGACCTGGCGGGCGGGCGGCCGGGTGTGTGGTCCCGAGCCCCCGGATGCACCTGTGCCCTTGGACGGTAAAAAAAAAAACGGAGACACCCAGGTTTTTTGATTATGGGTTCGTTTACCATCCACCCCCCCAAATAAAAAAAAAAAACGTTTTCATATCAAGGGGCCTGCAGATGCCGCGTTCATGGACGCAATAACGCGGAGACTCAATGCCAATTTAGAACTATCGACGTAAAATGGAGCAAGAGAATGCCTCTTTCCCTTCTTGCACAATAGCACAACAATCTGGAACACTGATAAAAACTAAAACTGTAACAGGATAAACGGATGACGTGCACGCTTTCGAAATCAGCGTTGGTCAACAATGGTTCTCTCTGCCCTGCCAGACGAGGAAGCTGCCCCGCTGCAGGCCTGCAGGGCCCCGCGCTCATTGTCTTTTTCGAACTCCAGCAACGTCGCAAAACCCGACCTGACAGCCCAGTCGGAGCATTGTTATTGTCATCTGGTAACCCGGGCGCAGGGCACGGGGAGAAAGAGAGACAGGAAGCCTGTGTCATGGTCACAGTCACCCATCATCCCTCCTGATCCCATTCCTCCCCCGGACCACAATGCGGAATACAGACGGAAATGGACAACGCCACCCTTGGTGTTTATAATCTGATGCCGCCATACTGTCTCCGCAGTCTGAAGGAGGCTGACTAATAATGTGCGGCTTACCGTAATTTGTCGGAGCGTTTTACGAATGAAATACACACGAAGAAGCGCCGCACTTGGGATAAAAAAATTTTTTTTAAAAGGAAAGAGAAGTGATTAGCTCTGAGAAGTTGCTCTGCACAGGTCTCAAGGAACTCGCCACTGAACTTCTTGTGTCATTACTCACTTAACATGTTCTCGCTGAAACAGATTGCCACTGCTGCACAAAAAGCTGCTGTGCACGCAGTAATTGTGAACGTCTTTCGTTTAGAAGTTGTTGTTTTTTTTTGGCTGGCCCCAAAAGTTTATACACAGTTTGCATTCGCTCTGCCTCTTTAAGGTGCTCCTTTAAGGCCATGTAATGTTACAGGTCTGTTGCCTGTTCACCTAAAAAGCAGAAATTTCTTCGTATAGCTGTGACTTTTTATGGATCACTAACTTTAAGAATTTAGATCCAAGCTGGTGACCTGTTCTAGGTACACCCTGCCAGCTAAAGACGGCCCATTAACCATATTTGTACTTTGTACAATGCGCTTCTTAGCATTGTTTCAGAGTGCCACCACGGAAAATAATTCGATACGTGCCAGTTTGAGCTGCCCTTTGCAGTATTTGGCGTTTAGCTCAGTTGGGCCATATCCAGTAAAAGCTGCATCTGCAATTTCGGCGTGCTACTTTTTTTAGGTGGGATTTCTACCATCCTCACTTGCTTTGTGAAATAATCAATGCAGCACACAACGGTCGTGTAACACGTGCGGCCTTGTCCGCTCCACCGCCGCCGCTGTTGTGGAAACATGCCAATCTGCTTGCCAAGTCAATATGCACTACGTTTAAAGCGTCACACGTCTCAGTTACAGTTTACAGAATACAGATCGTTTTCATTTTTCCTCTCACTTTCATGCGAAAAATGTAACGGCCCATTAAAGCGACCCGTAGCTTGAGATGCGGCAACAATTCTGAAATAGGAGCTACTGGAGCAAATCTTTTTAGGTGACGCTGAGCTCTAATGGAGGCTGAACATCTGCCCAGCTGTCGAGGAATAGGTTCAGAGGGTCAAGAGAAGCTAGGGGCCAAGCAGCCGTCATTGTGCAGGTTTGTGACGGCATTTCTTCCAAATCCATCCAATCGAGCACCAAATAGAGATACAGAAAGGTCGCGTGATCATAAGGATGGAGCTAGTACAATTCAAATGTTCTTTGTCAACACAGCCCTATGGAAAAAAACTAAACACTTTAATCGATTAAAAAAAGAAATAGGATTGAGTCACCTCGGTCAACCCCTGCATCAGATGTCAGTGATGACCCACCAAAATGTACCTGTCATAACCATTACTCACTGGTTAAAAACCTGATGTAGCACACACCTTTAAAGTCAAA